CACATTTTAGCTAATTGTAAAATTGGTGTTTATCATAATTTATTATCAAATAAATGTCAAGGTATTTTTACGAGTATCATCTTATGTTTATTTTCCACTAAATGTCTTCAAACTGACGTCCATTTTGATCATGACACTGCTGAAAATGTAAAGCAATGGGACCGGACATACCATTAAACGAGTCCCTTGGTATTCGGGTGCATTCATGTTCAATGGTTTCTCTCAATTCAGCCACTTTTGCAATAGTCAAAATGCAGTGAACAAACAATAAAATAATACTTGTAAATCTTTTTACCTTTTGGAAATATTAAAAAAATAAAATAACCATGTTTACAACTACTTACAATATGTATGCATTTTTTGGGACACCCTGTATATGACCACAGTCGGAGGTGACAGATGCTTTCAGTCAGCTATATCAGAGAATTTTTCTGGGCAAAAAAGTCACCTGCATCGGTTAAACGGGATGGCGCCTACATCAAGAAAAACGGCCATGGTAATCATCATACCCAATTTGTTAACACGAGGTGAAAATAGGTTTTAACCATAATTAATTGCTCCCCTCGTCACGGTAAGCATATTGCGATTACTCTATCGAAATTGCTGTTTCACAAGCCTTCTGGCCAACTAACGCATGCTCTTAAATGCTAAAATGCTGATGGCCAGAGTATGATGTTATGAAAGTCGATTTGGCAAACATATGTTTTCAGCAACTCTTCGTCAGGCCAGTGTACTTGCAGGAATAATGAAAATTGTACAGCTGAAAAGGGTTAATAAGTGTTCTTGGATTACAACTCATCGTTTTTACGCCACCCACATGGCAAAATCAGCGTATAGAGGTTCTTGTGCTGGGGAATAGGGGTGGGGCTGGGCAGGATGTTGGATTACGTTGTGATTATTGGTCAGAGTCAGGTACGTGGAGAAATGATTATCGTCATTCGCACGTAGTGAACGGCTATCACTAGGGGGTGGAGGCGATGTGCCATCGTCAGTTTGCGTCGGGAGCGGCCATGGAAGTGAAAATGCTTGTGTTAGCGTCTTCGGACAACAAAGCACTGGATTCGCTAGCCGTATAGTAACTGCTTCGACTCGTGCAAGCACTTGTTGGACCAGTTAGCTGCTGTCCGGTAGAAAACTTGAATGGCTTAATTCGTATCGAATCGATGCCGATCTACAAGGTGTTCGAGAATAAAACTCGCACACCTTATTCCACTGTCATTCTTTGCTATTGGTAAATACTGCGAAACTGTCTTATGGACCCGAGGTCAGTGCAATCTTCTTGCAAACTCGAATTATGCGGGCAACATATCCTAGATGGTTTGCCTTGGCAAATTACATTCAATTTAGCCTAAACAAATGGCATTTGGTAAGAAATGAAATTTCCTATGACTAGCAAATATGATCCTGTCACAATTATGACTGGATAGTATTGCCGGCAAAGAGAAGGGAGAATGAAGTGGCCGTTTCTGGATTATTAGCCGTCGTCAGCTTGTCACACGCAGACCCAAGTGGTGTCCCCCGAGCCTCGAACTCGCGAATTTGTTATAAGAGTCGAATGCCCTAACCGTTGAGCCAGAAGCTCGTTGTCTTGCCGGTTTAGGTTGGGAGGTATTGACACTCATTGACGAACGATCGTCGACCGCTAACGAAACTCATCTCCCCCGCTCGGATAGGACACAACTTGGGTCTGGATATGAGTGGCTGACGACGGCTAATAAGCCAGAAATGGCCATTACAGTCTCCTTGTCTTTGCTGGCAATACTACTAGCTGCTACGGCTATCAGGGCCTCTGCCAAGGCCCAAGGCAGAATGGGACAGATGAGTTTTGTTAGCATTCGAGTGAATGTTCATCAGCGAGGGACAGTGACTAGTTTCGTAGTTTGTTTGAGACATTGTGCATCATTTCACGCATCCCAATCAAATATCGCCCGAGGGCGAAGGCTATCGGCAAATACTTGTTACGGTTCAGCGATTAGCGTGCACTTATTAAAAGAGGCTACAGCAAAGTTTG